ATTGCTCTCGTTCATATTCTCTTGACAGTTCTAACCACTGTCATTCTGTGTAAGCTGTGGGTTGTTCCTCCTAACCTCTTTGTTATGGTCACCCAGTGACCTTCAACAAGCTCTAATCTACTCTTCATCCTACTGATAGCTCTGTATTCTTCCTCAGCAACTCCAACGTCTGCACAGAGCTGCCTCCAGATAGACCCCAGGTACTGAGTCACACCCACCTCTCTATAGTCACCACCAGGTAATGAGCTCCCCTTATAGCCAGGCACTATGCTAGGATGCCCTAGAAATACGAAGTGAGTCAGCCAGGCTCCCTGCTGCTGGAGAATCTCAATTCCCAGGCTCTGACGTTGTGACATGTGTAAGAACATCTGTTGAGATCTCGGGGCAAAAACTTCCAAACTGCATTTCCCCAATATTAGTATTTCATGAGACATTAATAGAAAGCTCCTACTAAACACAGTTCTAGGGCTAAATAATATTTGGGAAACATAATTATATGTGCTAACACATATTGTGAATTTTGAAGAAGAAGCTATGTGTATAGTAGGTTTTGACAAAAGTACTTGACCTGCAAACCATCTTTTCCAGGAACCCATTGGAGACAGTATCATTCCTCTGACACCATTTGGGAAATGCTGGTTTGGAAGTAGCTATAGCCCACTCAGTCCTGCTAAATGCCAAGGACCAGACTGAAGTGATTCCAATATACAGCCTGGTTAGGTGGAAAACAGATATCTCTTGGTGATTTCCCTTAGCTCTGTCTTTTGAATAATAAATAAGTTCAGTCTGCACCTGATGCTCAATTACTTACATTTCCATAAGTATATTGTGTAATTTACCATCTAGAGCTCTAATGACTTCCCAGTCTATAGTCCTAGCCCAGACTTCCCTTCCCCCTAACTCAAGAGCTCCAGGGCCCATATATTGTGCTGTCTGCTGGACAACCACCTATTGGAGATCTTTAACAGAATGTCCAACAAGCACTTCAAATGCAATTTCTCCCACATAGAAGTGATTACTGCCCTCATAAAATTCTTTTCTCCATCTGCATTCCCTGATGGCCTCATTACCATCTTCCAATCAGAAACCTGGGACTTGTTCAGAATTCTACCCTCTCAGCCAAGTTGTCATTAAGTCCTCCTGATTCTATCTTCTAAGGAGCTCTTGAATTTGGTCCCCATATTCCACCCCCAACTGTCATTGTCTAATTTGGGGTCCTCACTATGCTGGTTTTCTTAGGTCAGATTTTCTGGGAAACAGACTCTGGGTTTCTGAGACTTGCATGTAGCCAGAGTATCTGAGAGAGCTATGGAGAATAGTCCCTTTTGAGGGAGTAGAGGATGAAAGACCAGGCTGAAGAAGTTGAACTTTGATAGTGGCCAGAATAAGCTCAACCAATTCTGTGGGGTGCTATAGAACTGGGTGATACCTCAGAATTGTCCCAACATGATGCAAGAGGTTGGGGAGGGGTGCATTCCCCTACTCCCCTCACCTGCCACTGGATATAGGCAGCCTCCCACCCCACCCCCAGGGCAATTCCCAGAATGGCCCTCAGCTGAGGGCCACCAACCACCAACTCTTGCAGCAGGTGGAGGAATGAGTGCCTTACTCCTGAGGGAATTGGGATGGTAACAGCATCCTTGTGCCTAATCTTACTGCTTTCCATTTTATCCCCACAACACCACCAGAGGGGTTTTTCTAGACCCAAATTTAATCATACTCTACCCTTTCTCAAAATCTGTCAGTAATGCTCCTTACCAACAAGATAATTCAGTTGTGATCTTTGTCTACTAACATTTATCAATCCTTCATGAGCACTGCTCCCCATGCTGGGCGTGAGTTTGTCCCATGTCTCTCATTAGTAAACTCCTACTCATCCTTTCAGGCCCCATGTAAGCACCCCCTCTTCTATGATGCCTTCTTTAATATCCTCAAGCAGGAGTAATAATCCTGTATATTCTTTATATAGATAGAGTCATTTACTTCTGTGATAATTAGACTGACTTCCTTTAGAGCAAAGCCTGTGTCATTCACTTGTGAAGATGAACGAATGAATCCATCAGCCATGTACATCAGTATTGTATAAAGCTGGTCTACATGGGCTAATTCAAACTAACTAGAGGTGCCTTCCATCTAGTCAGCTGTTCTTTCAGAGACTTAATCTAGTTGCCCACTGAGGGCTCTCAGTCCCCAGTGAGAGGCAGGGATGCTGTTCGGGGAAATTCAGCTGGTTCTGTACAGGTAGCTCAATGCTCTGAGGGATTGAGCATGTAGTACAATACTTCCCATTATGTTGATGCTGTCTCTCATGTTGAAAAGGGAGATAGCCAGTGACCTACAGGATTTGTTATAAAAGGTACCATATGGCATGACTGGCCTCAAGATCTCTCTTTTACAACTGAGCTTTCCCTTCGTGTCCATTCTGAAATTCTTGCCCTCATAGTTCCCTGGAATTGGACCAGTGGTACTTTGGTTGGGGTAAATGCATGCTAGGGCCTAGGCAAAGGAATTCATCTGTAGAAGAGAATTTCTGTGTCTGTTTTTATTTTTCTCTTTTCAAAATTTTTATATTTTGTAATGTATATCATATAGTAGTAGAGTAGCACATATATTTAATTTATAAATAAATAATGTTAAGAAGTATACACTAAAAACATTTTTTTACTAAGTAGCACATTGTTAAAAAAAATTAGAGACCCCTAGATTGGACTCCAAAGACTGGAGTCTTTTTTTTTTTTTTTAAAGATTTTTTTTTTTTTTTTTTTATTTGACAGATCACAACTAGGCAGAGAGGCAGGCAGAGAGAGACAGGAGGAGGCAGGCTCCCTGCTGAGCAGAGAGCCCGATGCGGGACTCGATCCCAGGACCCTGAGATCATGACCTGAGCTGAAGGCAGAGGCTTTAACCACTGAGCCACCCAGGCACCCCCGAAGACTGGAGTCTTCTTCAGCCTTCTTTCATTAGCTTTTCAGCTGATCTGACTGCTGAGCTAAGGCCCTAGGGAAATTCTAAAATCCAGGAACAATTAAGAATGAAAGATAGGGGCCCGAAGGAGAGCACGGCTAGGTGAGGAGAGCACAGAGACTGCATCTACACAGAGCCAATGAACCACCATCTAGTAAGACACTGAGAACCTGGAATACAAAGAGGCTGGAGGTGGAGCAGAGGATATCCCTCCTACCTGACCCCCATTACATAAGGGACCAGACTCTAGCCCAGTCCTGAACTTGGGGCTTGGAGATCAGAGCATCCAGGGTCAACCTCAAACTCTGGACCCAGGGATATTCCCCCACCCCTAACCTGGGACCTATCCATTTCCCATGCTCAGCCCCAAAGCTGGGATCTGGGACCAAGGCATTCTCTTGAACCCTGGACTAAGGCTTTTTCACACCCCACCCCAGCTTTGAACGCAGGTCAGGGCATTGTCAAATCTTGAACCCAGGATGCAAGTATTCCCAGCCCCCATCAGGACAGAGGATTCAAGTATATTGACCCTGCTGAACCTTTGGTTCCAGGTGACCCCTGCATTCACCATACCCACTTGCCCCTCTCCAGCTCTCTTTAGGGATTCTGCCCCTCCTCTCCAAAGTTCCACATTGATGAGGACCAAGGGGTAGGGTGGGGCAAGGTAGGGGTAGTCCTGATCCAGAATAGAACATCTGTTTCAGTGTTACTACTACAATAAAGGCTGTTGTATCACTCAGGCCAAGAAAGGAAGGGAAGGAAGGAAGGGGGAGATGGGGAAGGGTGAGAGAGAGGAAGAAGGGAAGGGAAGGAGGGGGGAAGAAAGAGGGAGAGAGGAAAGAAGGAAGAAAGAGTGGGAGGAAGAGGGAGGGTGGAAGATAGATGGAAGAGTAACAGTCTCTACCTCAACCAGGAAGATGCCCCATCTGCCTCTCACTGTGACTGGAGCTCACGTCAGAGTATAGCCAGCCAGAAACGAAGATAGTACTGGCTGCTCCACAGTGCCTATGTAGGATGATGAAAGACAGCAATCTGATTGGAGTCAGGACACAGGCGCTTTGTCTTAAGTTGCATTAGCATAACCGGAGCATCATTTTTACATAGATTATATGGTTATTTCGGGATGGCCATAGAGATTGATTGATGGGGGAATTGGGAGTGGTCTCTGGTCTCCAAGCCCCAAGTGTACACTCCCTAACATTGGAGACTGTTTGATGGGTATGACAGCATGCTATCTACAGTTTCCTTACATATGGAGTTGCCTGCGAGACAAAAATGATCAGAAGGAGAACAAATGCAATTCCTTTTTATATTGTTTTCAGACTCTTAGGCTCTTAGTAGTCTACCAGGAGCAGACTATAAACCCTTCGAAGGGTACAGCCACTTCTGGCTAATAAGATTTTGCATGAGTAAAGCATTTCAGTTAACATCAATTTTGCATGCACTATTTCATACATCCTTACCACAACCCAGCAAGGAAGGGTTTTTTTAATTTTTTTTTAATTTTTATTTATTTTTTATTTTTTGTCAGAGACAGAGAGAGCACAAGCAGGGGGAGCGGCAGGCAGAGGGAGAAGCAGGCTTCTTGCTGAACAAGGAGCCTGATGCTAGGACCATGACCTGAGCTGAAAGCAGAAACTTAACCAACTGAGCCACCCAGGTGGCCCATTATTCTTATAACCATTTTGCAGAAGGTGATATAAAAATTCAAGCAGCAAGTTTGTTTTGCCAGAACACTATCTTCTGCAGACGAAGTATCTGAGGCCAAGGTGGAGTTCATTGGTTTACCACTCACGACGGACAAAGAGCAGATGCTTACAAAGCCAGGACCCACATCCAAGACTCTCAGAACCCCATCTCCAAATTCTCCATCCTTATATCACGCTTGCTTCTCATCCCACCATGGTACTAATATTAGAGCTTGGCAACCACAAAGTGGTCCGTGAGGAATGGCAAACAAATGTTACTGGCTCTGCCTTTCTACTCTTGAATCTCCTGGGCAATTTGTTCTAACATCCACTGTGATTTTTTTGCAGCATGCAAAAGGAAAGAACAAGAACATGGGAAGGATAGAGGCAACACACCCAAAAAGCCCAGGTTGGTCTTCACAGATGTCCAGCGTCGAACTCTACATGCAATATTCAAGGAAAATAAGCGCCCATCCAAAGAATTGCAAATCACTATTTCCCAGCAGCTGGGGTTGGAGCTGAGCACCGTCAGCAATTTCTTCATGAACGCGAGGAGGAGGAGTCTGGACAAGTGGCAGGACGAGGGCAGCTCCAATTCAGGCAACTCATCTTCTTCATCAAGCACTTGTACCAAAGCATGAAGGAATAACCACAAACTAAACCTCGGTGGAAAAGCTTTAAATAAAAAAAAATTTTTAAAAGACCAGGACCTCAAGATAGCAGGTTTATACTTAGAAATATTTGAAGAAAAAAAAAGTGTTATTTATAGTCCAAAGAAACCAAAGACTTAGCTCACCTGCATTCTGACTTTGTTCGGAGACACACACTTCAGCGGGGCAACGACTTGGCAAGAAAAACCATGAGCCGGAAAGCACCACTGGATCTCACACCTTCAATCCATGATCATTCTCGCTGTGCTTGGCTGTTCGTGGTTTGGAGCATAGTGATTTTGAGCCATTGAGTGGACCTCTCTTAAGACCAGACTTTCTCATCTGTTCCACCATGCCTCGAAGGTGTATGGTGTCTCAGTACTGTGTGTGGGTACGTGAGTGCATACACACATACACACACACACATACACACATGCACACACCACCAGTGGTTAGGGACTTAGGCAGGGCTGGTCTTCAGGAAGGGTTGTGCTATAGGGGTGCAACCAACATAGTGTGGGGTTGTCTGAGTTCATTGGATAGGAGTGTGATTTCGCTCATCTAGCCTAGCGTTTGAACCTGCCAGGCCCACAACCTAAATGCAGATTCAAACCCAGCAAAGAAAATTTGAATGACACCTAAACCAGTGCATTCTCTTTGTTTGTTAAGGAATGTTCAGATATTTTTTAAGAAATGAAACAAGAGTCCATCCATTAAAAAAAAAAAATCACCTAGGTACCAAAGAACACACTTAATATTATAGTGCAGGTATTTTATTGCAATGATTTTAATAACCAAAGCTATTTTTACACAAGATACTATGTAAAGTTATACGTATGAACTGATCTAGCTGTAATACACATGCCACATAGGATCATGACTATTATTTATGACTCTTGACACATTTGAAATATTAGTTTTCAGAACTGGCAAGAAAGAATGTAGCTTCAGGGAAGCAATTAATATCATAAGAGAGAGGTCAGTGTAGTGGACAGGTACAGCCAGATGGCACACTCCCTTGCGGGATCCGTAAATGACACTTAAGTAGACACATAGACATGATGCAATAATCTATTTATAGCTGAGAAAACCTGGGGATTCTTCCATAGTAGGACCCCATTTGTAAATTAGAATACTAAGTTTAGCAGAGCAAGTAATTAAATTAGAAAATTTGTTCTAAGTAATGCTTTTTTAGTAAAAGACCACTGAATAAAGGATATCATACTTAGGTTAATTTGACTTAAAGTTGCTTTATGCATTTGACACCAAATACCTTTTTAAAATACTCTGCAAACCCACAAAGTGAGCAGACCAACATTATTATTAAAAAGAACTCTCCAGCATTTGTAGCCAAATTGATTTCATTGCAATCACAGATATTGTGTGACTTGGACATCACTAGAAATAGCAGAGCCAACTGAGAAATGGTGGAACAGCGTAGAAAACACCAGAGTTCTAGTGGTAGACTTTAGGTTGTCTAGGCACAAAGCTATTTATTTCACTAAGCATAGCCTCCAAAGTGTACTACATTCTTTCTTGCTACTGCATTAAGCTGGAAATTTTATGACATGGATTTCACTCTCTAACGGAGACAGATAGAACCCTACACCTGAGCTTCTAAATATAAAATTTTCAATTTCTATTTTTCCGAATCACTTAACCGCAGCTGGAGAAATCAAGGGGGAAGAAAAAAAGTTGACACAGTTGTAGTAGTAGTACCCAAGTGAATCACTTGCTTCCCAGAAAAATTCTCTCTGAATGCCAATGAATTGTAACTTTTCATAGCAGAAGATCCCTTTGTACTATTAGGTAAAGAATTGGGTGCTCTTGGTTAATTACCACACCTAGTTAGAAATATAAAATGAAATGTAATCTCCACAACAAGTTGTTGATTGAGAGTCATTAAAATGTTAAAGAAAAAAAATTTGAACCATCTTGACACAAAAACCTAACTCCCTAAGGTCAAATCTGAGCATCTTGTCTAGGTCTAGAAGAGAGAGACACCTGGAGAGATGAAGCTATACCTACAAGCCATCTGGCTGTCCTTCATATCTGCTATAGAATGAGAAAAGCAAGCCAACACGTGCTTCTCCTTTAATGAAACAGCGCATTTGCCTTGACACATTTTGTCTTAGTATTGGTTTTAATCTCATACCAAATTCCAGCTTAAAATTTTCCCTTCCAAACATGGCACAATTACACTTCAGCTATTAAAAGAGACCATTTCAACGGCCTCCCCTAGAGATTTGCTTAACATATAATCTTGTCAATGACATAAACCAAAAGGAGAAAAATGATTAACTTTTTGTCTCTCTCCGGAATGGAGGGGGCCAGGAGTACAGCTATATAATTATAATTTAGGAGGGAGGAAAGCCTTATTTATTTAAAACACGAGAATTTTAAATGCAGGGAAACTCAAGCTGTGTCTACGCACAATCTTACCAAATTCAGCACCCCAGGAAAAACAAAAGTTGAATTAGAACACCATGTTTTTTTGTTTTGTTTTTGCTATATTACCCCTTCAGATTAATCTAATTGCATTTTACATTTTTGACCAATTATTTTGGTACTGTGTAGACACAGCCTCAAAGAATATTGCTACATTTCTAATATTCCCATCATAATGGTTTTTTGAAAAATAATCCAGTGATCCTATTTGCTAACACCAAAGATAATTTTCATACCAGCATTGAATTTGCACCCATTACACAATTTCAGGGCCTAGAGATATATTTTCTCATAAGCAGATGCACAAATCAGAGCCTGAAAAGCAATTTTTTTACTAGACTGTTCAAGCATACTCACAAACTTTGCTTTTCAAAATCATAATAGACAAACTCAGCTTCTCATGAGCAATATACTCGTTATATCATACATGACCGATGATTGCTTCTAACTTGGCATGTAGCATTGATTTACGGCTCAGGTTTCTTAACCTACCACATTCAGTGGAGCAGGTCACGTGCCATTTGCTCACCCATTATTTCTCAGTCCTTTTGCAAAATTCACCCAAAAAGGTACCTCAGTCTTTCATTTGTATGTTTGTTGATTCCAGTGCTACACTCACATGTTTTGGGGGTTTTTTGGTAGAGGAAGTTAGACTATTTTTGACCATCAATCATTCAGGTCCTCTCATGACCAGAAGCTTCCCTGAAAGGGGGCAAAGAGAGAGTGGGAGATGTGAAGTCTGGACACTCCAAGAGCCCAGATTTCAGTAAGTCTTCAGGTAAATGAGTTCTGGATGTCAGGAACTAATGGAAGCAGCTGGCATAGATACCCAAACACAGAGAGAATGTGGAGAAATTCAGACGTTCCAGCTGAACATGTCACTCACTCTGCCCCCCAAAAAAGCATAATTACTTTTCCAGGACAAAAAAGTGAAAGTACTACGCTACTTTTGGACTCATGCCACTCCCATTGCTACCCCAGGTGAATGATCCATCTTTGCAGGTTAAATGCAAACTTTGCTATACCAAAGAGTCCTAGGACATTTTCACATGAACTCTAAAGGCATTTTCCCTAAGAAAGGTCCTCCCTTCTTTGTACATAAAGGATGAAAACTATGCATTTAGCAAACAAAGAGAAAGCACTTCTCCTTTTCCTATCTAGTTGTTTAGGGTGCATTCAAACACCAGAGGCCATTTTGAGATGCGATTGGCCTTCTGGATTATTCTTGTGGTGTGGTTAGCTTTACAGTACATTTGGTAACTATTTCCTAAATAGTAAGGACAAAGAAGCAGAAGGTAAGAAATAGCTACTTCCACGTGTTAAAAAAAGGAAAAAAAAAAGGAAAAAAAGGAAAAAAAAGAAAAAAAAGTGTAAAAATCTACTATTTATAGTGTGAACCAAAGACGCTACCTCACTCGATTTCCATTGGTGATTTTAATCACATTGATGATACCAAAGAATACCAAAGATATGTTCATGCACGGCCTTGGTCTGCAGAGGGAACTCCACCTTTTTCCCCTCCCCACTTCCCCTCCCTTCCTCACTCTTCACTCAGTGTGTAAACTTGTCTTCATTCTTAACAATAATGATACGAAATGATAACAACAACATTAGGAAATACTACTCTTACTACTGCTAGTTCTACTTGTAAATCTCTAGGCGAACATGTTGCAAACTTTGTAAACTCCTAGGACGAGTGCCTTGCTTGAACCAAAGTGTTAAACCGCTGTTGACCTCTCACCTTATACTCTTTGAATACCTCAGCCTCTTAGAAAGGCCACTAATGAAAAAAAAAAAAAAAGGAATAATTATTCACCGTGGTGCTTTTTCCGTGCAACCATGCAATGAAACTTTCTTTGATACCAAAGGATGACTCCCCCCACCCCCAATTTCTTGCTGATAAACCAAAGCTCCTCCTCCTCATTCCCTCTCAAGGTTCCCCAACTTCACCGAGTCCCTTCACCAGGCAGGCCGTGCATCACTTTTACCAATTCCTCCAAATACCTCATAGTAATAAAGTTTTAGGGTTATGTTGTATAGAGAGTCTATGTGATAAGGCAGAACTTACTAGTTTGATAATTGTTAAGGTTACTTTTAAAAAAACTTTATAATTCTTATTTATTTTGTAGTTTGTATGTTTGGGATGTCCCCTGCCCCCCCCCCTTCGGTTTGGGGTTTATTTTCTTGGCAGAACTGCTCTGTTGCTCAAGGAAGACTTAATTTCCGGAAATGTTCCCCCAGGTGGGTTAAGGGTTGTGTAAAAATTCAAGAATGGAATAAGAAATGATTCTCATTTTGATGGTTACTTATGAAGTTTTTGTGTTTCGTAGTAAATTTGTTTCCACAGGGTAAAAAAAAAAAATATATATATATATATATATATATATTCTCCTTTTTGTGAAACTGGTTCCTATTTTTCTCTATAATGTGCTGTGATTTTTTTAATTTAATTACATTTTATATGAGCTTATTTAATCACTGCTTTAATTTATGACTGTGTAGTTTTTATGGTGTATATAGTCGAACTGAAATGGCCAAAGCTTTACGTTACAATCTTTTTGTTCTTGACGCTAAGATAAGCTGAAGGCAAGAGCTTCTCTTAACAGCAGGGTGTATCTTTAGCTTTTTCTTAGCACGCACTTCAGTGTGTGTTGTGAACACTGCCAGGATCCCCCCTCAAAAAACTTGTACATGCCAAAATGAGTGTTTCAAGGTAGTCCTTTTTGTCACTTAGAAAGGAGAAAGGTGTTTATTTGTGTTCTTTTAATTTATTAATTTTTTTAAGAAAAGATTATTTTGCAGGTTAGACCTGAAATTCCAAAGAATTTAAGAGCTGTTTCATGTTTCAAAGCACCGGCATTTGTGAGATACTTTGCTACTTTTTTTTTTTTTTTTAATCATTCACACGGGTATGAGAAGTAAAGGGTGTGAAAAAAAACTCAAAGAGGCAAGCTAACTTGAATTTGGAAATCCTC